GGGGGAACACATGGTTTTCGAGAATCAATATGAGAGGGGGTAAGAAATTATAATTTTGCTTTGGATGAATGAATCATGATATAAATTTACAAGATCGTAAAATCAATTGTATATCCTGCGAACATTCCTTTAGTAAAAAAATTGAATTATACAATTAAGCACATTTGTGAATAAAATTATTTATTTTTGAAATATATTTTAAATAGAAAAGAAAATTCAAACAACAAACATGGTATCATTATTTTTAATTCTTGAACTAATTAGTGTACAATTATGCTAGCGAAAAAATTCATATAAATATAATAACACTTGAACAATTCCTCTTAAAAAAACTATTATTTGAGATCAATTTTACACAAAAACATTCTTAATATACTAATGTCAAGCAAAAAAAGTAAACACAACTACAATAGCCAACAGCATGTTAATGTTACCATAAATGCATCGTGAAAATTTTACTTAGAATGAATAACAAAAGATTTTTAAAAAATCATTAAAAAACGAAATTGATTAAATACTTTACTATCACAAGAAATATAAACTATCCACCACTTGAATTTTAGTTAGAGGGGGTGGAAGGGGTATAAAGTTATAACCTCTGTTTTATACCACATAAATCATCCACCACTTGAATTTTAGTTAGAGGGGGTGGGAGGGGTGAGAACTAAGAATACTGTATCTAGGGTTTTACAGTTTTGATTGGCTCGGCTGACGGCAGTTGCAGAATGCCTGCCAAACAGAATTTAGAATTTTGTAGACTTTTGTATTTTTTACAAGGAAAGGCGTACATTATGCATAATAAAGTTATAGAGAATTCTATTATATGAAGAAGAATGTGTATAAAATGAGGTAAAGTGATGATTGAATGAAATAATTCTAATACGATTCGTTTATATTTTGAACAGCTCACACGTAAACGGGTAACGTTCATCGAGAGTCGATTCGATTTACCTTAGATAAATGGAATGATCTAAAAATTAAAATTAACCTGGCTACATCTCTCTGTGTGTATCACAGTAAGTATATGATATTTATAGCACAAAGGACCGTATATAAGACCTATAGAATCAAAGATGTGCCCCAAAGGAGTCAAAGCTCCCACGAATGATAATAAACTCTATATAAAAAGCGTTTCCCCAGAAACCAAAATTCCTTTGAAAACTTTCTCGGAAGCTTAAAGCGTGTCGTCGGCAGCCTATCGGTTTTCGACAACTTTTTTTTCGGTAACCTTTTTGGATTTCTGGTGATCGAAAACGTTGAAAGCGTATGCCAGAATACTAGTTTGGTTTCCGAACAAATCTCGAAAGCCCTTCCAGATTTCCAAATTATTACAAACCTATGAGTTTCCGAGAAAATTTGAGTCCATCCGGTTTATCGTTTCGGTGGGAAACGATAGAAAAAAGCTTCAAAATTTTCCGATCGCTATACGTCTACGTCTTTTCTATAAGTCTTAATTTTCTATATATCTATGTGTATCTCCAAATCTGTACATCTAAATCTTTACGTCTTAAACCTTACGGTTTAATCTCTAATCTACTGCGTCTTAATCTATATGTTCTAATCTATACGTGCTAACCTATACATTTGAATCTAGTACGTCTTAATATAATACGTCGTAATCTATACATCCTACACTAGGGGTGGACCAATTTTTTTAACGGAACTTAATTAATGACATTAATTAATGACTTCCATTAGCCATTAATCTTAATGGTTAATGTTTTATGAGAAAAACTTAATTGATTAATATTAATGGCCCACCCCTATCCTACACTGTAAAAAGAACCGTAGAATAATAAACGAAAAAAGGGTTGATAATTCACATAAACGTTCTCATATAACCTTCGAGACTCGATCTAAAAAAGGGTTGATTGAAATACTATACCCATGAGCCCCTCTCAGAAACGCTATTGAAAAGCGTTTATGGACATCATGAATGGTCGCCAGCGTTTGTGAGAGGGTATATGAAACCGATTATGGACCTCATCAACCGCTCCAAGGGTTTATGATAAGGTTGATGAAGGCGATTATGGACCTCCAGTATCGTTTTCAGTGAGAATATTAGGATAAATAGAGTGATTCAAGAGTACAATGAACTACTTCGAGGGGTCGGAGAATAACTAAATACTTTGTTTTTTCACCTTGGTTGATGATTGACAAATGTCTACAAAGAGAGACATGCTGAATAATTTGTAGTTTTTATAATTATACAGTGCGATGCATAATTATAAGACCGCTTGTTTTCAAAGTGCACTAAATAAAATGAGCGATATTTTTAGCGATTTCACATAGATGATTCATAAGAATAGCGCTGTATAATTTTCAAGCGGGAGTCTTTTTATTTTCCTATATATCTAGAATTACCTCCATTTTGGTGGTGCATAAATATAAGACCACACGAAAAAAAAGTACAAAAACACCAAAGAAAAAAATATCAATATTTGGTCTTGGCTCCATTTAGCTTAATAAGTTCAAATATTCTTTCAAGCATCGATTCGACTTGAGCCCGGAGTTGTTCGATGCTGATTTCTTCCCAAGATTTCAGAATGGCAGTTTTTAACTGTTCTTCTGTTCTAAATTGTTTACCTCCTGCACAGACCTTCCTTGCTAGTATTCCTCAAAGATTTTCTTCGATTTAAACCAGGCGAGATTGACTTTTGCTCGATGAATTGGTGCATTATCCTGTTGGAAGATCCAATCAGACCCACCCATACAGCTACCGATATCAATGAGATGCTTTTTCAACACCTCTCGATATCCTTTTGCGTTCATTCGACCGTCCACAAAACATATTGAACTTTTACTACCCCAACCAAACGACGCCCAATTCATAACGCTACCACCACCTAGAGGACGAGTTGAAAAAATCTCTTCCTCTTTACGGAGATCATGCCAGCAGTAAGAAAAACCATCAGGACCATCCAAATTATTTTTTTTCATCTTTTTCAAGATGTTTGACCTTTTTATAACTCGATTGATTGCCCATCGTGACATTTTTAAGCATAAATCGTTAACGATATTGGTACAATATATTGTTTTGTTGCTGGCGGTTCTAATAATTTCTTTCACTTTCTGTTAGTTGTATTTCTCTGGGCATGTTATAGCTTAAATCTCAGTGCTATCCTGTGTGTTAATTTTATTCAAAGTCACTGATGATTCACTTAGTATTAAAAACCAATCATGTGGTCTTATATTTATCCACCACCAAAATAGAGGTAATTCTAGATATATAGGAAAATAAAAAGACTCCCGCTTGAAAATGTTATAGCGTTATTCTTATATCTCATCTATGTGAAATCACTAAAAATATGGCTCATTTCACTTAGTTTGATTTGAGAACAAGTGGTCTTATAATTATGCACCGCACTGTATTAAGCGAAGTGGCTAACGATAAAACTGTTATTTTGTTTTGCCTGAGGTTGTATTTGTACCGCATCGACATTTGATCAGTGCGTTGTTTGACATATAATCAACAATGAGCTCATAGTCAACATCTTCTTTAAGTTTAATATGTTGCTGGTTGTAATCTTCTTTTATTTTCTCACGCCATTGATCGAGTAAATGAATTATGTGCTGTTTTTGCTCATCAGTGATTGTTAAAGTAACAGCTGAAGATGAAGATATATTTATTGGTGACTGAGTCGACGAATTTGAAGAACAAATAAGAGTTTCAGCTGTCAAAATAATTGATGATGTATTATTTATTGCAACGATATTTGGAGATATTTTCGATGATTCTTTTCTAAGTTAATTTCGTTTTTTTGCTAAATACATTTTTTAGCAGATTCATTTTGCTCCTGATGACAGGTAAAACAGCAAATGAATTATTATTCAATTTAACACATCATTTCTTTTTTAAATCGAGTAAATCATCTGAGTCGAACGATAAAATTTTAAAAGGATCTTCACAACCGAGAAAAAATTATGCATCAGTAATTTCTTGAAATTGAAAAAGAATAGTCAGTTTTTCGCTAGAAAAAATCTCACAAATTCAAAAAATTCATCATTTTCAAATTCAAAAACATTATTAGGCAAACTAGAACTTCGGTAGGACATATTCGGCATTGTTCAATAAAAATAAAAAGTAAATTTGAAGAAAATCAAATAAACAGTAAGGCAATGTTCGTTGAAGAAAACGGAGATAGAAATGAACACGAACGAAAATGTGTCTTTCGGTCAGTTATATGAGAAAGAGAACAGATAATAAGAGATATGAGACAGTCAAGTTCTAGATATCTAGGTTGAACGACAACTATGTGTAGTAGTTACTATTCGATCATGTTTCATTCATCTATACGATTTTTTTCATGAATCTATGGCTACTGTATGAAATAACGAATATAAAAAACTTGATCTTGGTGGAAAATGTCGAAAAGGAAAATGTCGAAAGAGAAAAATGGCGAAAGAAAATAGAAAAAGGAAAATGTCGAAGAGGAAAACATCGAAAAGGAAAATGTCGAAAGTAGAAGTAATTTATGAGAAAGAGATGTAGATGAAAATTTGAAAAGAAAAATGTCGGAACGACGAATTCATAGGCTTGATCCATAATGAATACTGTTTTAATAATAATAAAAAAGAAGAGAGAGAATAGACAATATAATAAAATGTTTTTTTGTTCTTTCCAATTAATAATGGTAAACCTGATCGTAATAGTTTTGCTTCTAATTGATCAGGATTTGCAGAATGACTACGATTACCATTGATACATATAAGTTCGTCAGTAGTGTTTGTATGAATATAAACACCGCACTCTGATTCACTACACATCCAGTATATTGTTGATTTTGTCGTTTTATTGCATCTGAAAACGTAATTTTTAAATATTAGTAATCATTTGCCTTTGATTGATATCGAAAACGTTATTTCACATTGTAGATTGTTAAGTGAGCATTTTTCAGGCGTCGAGTTCGAGATCATTTTGAATATATATATTTCTTTCCACAAAATTTTCTTTATTCAATGTAAAATACAATATGCCGGACGAAGAGAAACCAATGAAAACAAAAAAAAATCAATTTTACAGCTAGCCTCTTTCAATATATTCCACATTTTTCTCTTTCACAATCTATTGGATATTTTTATTTCTGTGTTTCGACGTTTTCCTCTTCGATATTTTCCTTTTCGATGTTTTCCTTTTCGACATTTTCCACCAACCCCAAAAAATTTCAGTTGCTTTACAATTAAAACCTCCAGCAACTAACTAACCGTCAAACGAGTACAATTTTTGCGGTAAATTTAATAGAAATTAAGTAAAACTAAAAGAACATTGGATATTTTTCTCTGATGTCTAATACATTGGACAAGTTGATAAATGTAGTCTGTATATCGATTTCCGATAATTTCTGGTGATTTCTAGCACTAGAAACCAGTTTGTTCCCCCTTTATCTGAAGGGTTTATTATTCAATTATTTTGTTTTCAACAGAGTATAAAAAGTAATATAGCTTATACGTCTCTCATAAGAGAATCTCGGATACATGGAATAAAAGTGAAAATCACAAGCAACAAAATATGGCAAAGAAGATGTGTTCAACGCCATTTATCATTAATTGACTTTTGCATAGGCAGAGTTTTGTCTACTGTTTGCCTACGATTCGAGAGTGGCCACCCATATCCGGTTTTCACTTTTTTAGTGCCTGGGAATAAACGATGTTCGATTGCATTCATCTGTACTTCCCACATAGGTTGATAGTGCTCCAAGACAAAAGGTGTCCATTCAGTGATGATTTGATCAGGTGTTCCCTCCATAAGCAAAGCATTGTCATAGTGCCAACTAGAATCCGCCTTTTTCATGAAATCCAAAACAGTTCGAAGACGTCCTAAAAGGTTCATTTTCTGTGCCTTCTCTGGTTTGTAGTTTACTCCGATAAGATAGTATGAGCTGCGTATAATATGAACTCTCTTGGGCTTGACTGGAAGCAAACTTTCAAAGCAGCAACTAAGTAAGCATAAGATTTCAACTTGGAAGAGAAATGGTCGTATATTGAAAACTAGAATGAGAGTACCATTCTTTTGAAGGTTAGTGAGTGCCGTCAATAGTTGAGAATAACGTAAAACTCGTCGACTACGTGAGCAAGCAGGCTGATCGTCATCGCTATTTTCATTGATCTCAGGGGATCTGAAAATACACCCGGCGATACATAGATCAAACTGAGGCTCGATTCCTTGATAAACACCGTCTTGACACCAAATCGTCTCCGGATTCTTGGTCACATCTTCGTATAAATATCGATATCTTCCTGGTGCATCAAATACCATATGAAATCCACCCAAGTCTGGAGGCAAAGTGATGCCTAGACCCGTACAAGAAGGATTATTCTCGATAATCCATCGTGAGAAGCCACCTGGTGCACAGCCCAAATCGAGGAAGTGCTTGATTCGATCCTGGCTAACGAGACAAATATTGTTATTCGATTCGATTTCCTCCATGGCCATTATGAAAGTATTGAGATGAAATTCTGAAGGCGCTTTACCACAAGTAATCCTGCGTTTCGTAAAATGTTCTTCAGTGTTTGGATCCTCTTTATAAATGTTTCTGATGTGGTAAAGTCGTCTCAGGACGACTGAATTATTGTATAGATGTCTGTGAAAGAAATCGAATTTTACCAGGTCAACTTCGTTGATCAGTGGCGTGGAATTTATTACAGAAGCACATTTTTGTAACGATTCAACATTTCGACGGTGTGGAGGGATGTAAACGGGTGTACTGGAAGCCATCTTTAATAATATGATTTTTGTTTTGATTTAATATTACGATGACACTTCAATGATAAAATATCCTTTTATAGACTGATAATAAGTTTGAAGTTTTCTTCGATTGCATTTGTTATATTATGCGTTTATAATTAGTTATAGGCGTCCAAAGACTCGGAAGAAACATCAGTACTATGATATGTAGCATTGTAATAAAACAACAAAATGAGATGCTAGATATACACAAACTCTATGATGACATACTGCTGATAAGATATCTATTTCGCTTGCTTCATTACGGCGTTCTATGATCATCACAAAGGTTTAGCAGAAGTGCAATAAAAAACAAGAAAAACATCTGGAGAAGTCTTGATAATGTGACTATTAGTAAGTGGGGTTTTAAGCTGTGTTAAACACTCAAAATAGTTAGAATTAAAGCTCAGGATGACTTGATTCGGCTGCTGCTCAACGATTCTTATCACATTTCACAATAATCTAATATATAATCTCCAATACAAAATGAATCCAATCTCTAGAAAATTCAACTACATTAGGAAATGGATTGAAATGTTTCGATATGTTCGTGGTGGGCTTTCTGGACGTCTACAGCACTACTATAAATATTGACTTAGAAGGAGTGAGAAAATTCTTATACCTATTTCAAATGCTTTGGAGTACTTTTCTCTTGATATTAATAACCTATATTACCATAATAATTCAGTGCAAATACCACAATTAGAAAAATGATAGAGATGAAAGTACTCAAATTTCTTGAATCTCCCTTGTTATGGATCTGTGTCTTCAAAAATCAGCAACCATATTGATATAAATAGAAATAATCAAATGTTATCTATCCATTGTTGAAGTATTGTCAATATTAAATATAATTCGATATTATCAAAAGTTAAATCACTATTGAAACTTTGAAAAGTTATTTGTCTCTTGTTTTTTATTTAGCTTCCGATGGATACGATCATAACGGTGAATTACAATTCAGTTCTGCAAAAAGTAATTTAATAATTTGTTTTGCTCTATATTAAAATATATTTGATGGAAAGCTTCCTCTATATTCTTGTTGAATTAGAAATCTCCATTGATTTCTAGCAGTACAGATGCTTGCTCTAGAGACCCGTATGTATGACTATACATCCTATCATGGATATTCAAGAAAAGCACTCTGATTACATATACAACCCCAAACAACCTAATCATCGATAGATATTTGTCAGTCATGTGAAAGTCGAATTCAAATCTGAAGACATTGCAAGTCTGAATACTACTAACGATTTTGCATTACTAAGATAATCAAGTGTACATCTATAGTACTGTATCAAACAATAATGACTGTTCGGTCTTGTTTCGATAATGTTAAGAATGATAACGGAAAAGTAAACGCAGTGTAGCTGTACGCTGATTAAGTATTACCATGTCCAGGCCGAACTCGTACGACGGGAAACCGCAGGGAAACACCGAAGATATTCCCCTGAATACTGCTTCCGATTCCCGTGATTTCCAGTGTTTTTCTGCAGGATATGGTGGCTTTCCCTGCATTTTCCTACCGGTTCCCGCAGTATCCGTTCTCCGGAATCATTGACCTGGGGCATCCTCTTCGATATCATCACATTTATAACTAAATCTCTAGAAAATTATTTCAAGGTATTTTGTTAAAATGGTAGCTTCCTTTGAAGTCATTGGTCTTATCAAAAGGTTGATCCTGGTTCTTGTGCTAGTTTATTTCGAATGGCAATATCATTTTAATCACTAACGCTGTTTCGTTTGACTGAACTCAGACAATATCAAACGAAATTATTGATCATGTGCGAATTGTTTATAAGATATTGCGATAGTTGACGACTTGTGAATGGAAGCACGTCCTCGGCAGTTGATGATGATGATGACATAACACGAGGATCAAGAATCGAATGCAGATGATCAATCGGTAGGATTAATGTTTGATCCGAAAAATGAAGTTTTATCAATTTTAAACGTTTATCCCATGTAATTAGATTATGACGATACATGTAATCAATAGTACTATGGTAGCGTTTAAAAAAGCTTGCTTTTGCTTCTGAGGGTAAGTATGCACCGAATTGAGCGTCTCTGTTGGTTACCGGTGGTGGTGTTGCTGCTCTGATTCTAGTCGCTTGAGCTATTGGTTGCGTATCACGAAGATATTGTTCGTTCAATGAATGAGTGCTATAACCGATGTTTTGCGATGCAATTTTAAACGATCGAATTATTGAAACCGGAAGATGTATGAAATGATCATTGTAATACAACAGCCAGTTATCGGATTTATCTTCTTTGATTTGTCCATAGTTAGTTAGAATATAAATCACATCTAATCGTTGAAATTGATTTTGCCGAATCCATTGGCTATGCTTCTGTGTAAAGTACAATTGGGAGCCATCATAAGCATTTTCCAATAGAAATATATCATTGTAATTATCATGTCTGGCGCCGTCCTGTTCAATGATTAGATCAACATAACGACAAACAAGATCGATCTTCTGTTTTGATGACAGATTTACAGTTTGCAAGTTTGATGCTACAGTCGAGTGTGCCATCGTTGTAGTAACGTCAGGCACTTTCAGAGAGTAGGCATGACCCATAAAAAGAAAATTGTCGCCAGAGATGACACCACCATTGGCTAGTAGTGCGTCAATTATGTAATATCGATCGAAATCATGAGCAAATATTTGACGATACCACGAGGACGGTATGGTAAGCAGTTGATTAGCTTTGTCTAGAAATTCCAGTTCAATACGTTTATTTTTTTCATCAACATAGATACGGCTAATGTGAAAAGAGAGCATTTGACGTTTGGCAATTCGTTCTGGTGAATCGTTTTTTTTGTCGAGAAGAATATCGGGTTCAACGTAACGATAGGCATATGCTCCCGTATCGATATCATAACGAACACGTCCATTCCGAAAAAGATAATTAGCTATGGCCCGTACATCATCAGTGGGTGCCATGTATTCCCACGGAATATACAACGATTCCATACTATTACCATCAAATAATTTGACACAGGTCTCACGAGATTGTGAATCAAGCTGAGCACCATACACAATTGATTGAAGCCATATTAATTCATTTCTGTCCGATGGAACTGTCTGAGTACTAAAGACCATCTGTCCAGACGAATCGTTGACATATTTGTATTTGAGCAGAATTGAAGCAATATCAGGCATCGTGGCGACTTCATATTCGTTTATTTTATTGCTTTTATTTACCTTGGTTTCGATGTAAGCATTGACATCAGCGTGATTGATAAATATTTGTTGAGCTTGGTCGTTCTCACCGCCAGGCATAATCACAATATCGTTCTGTTCTGTTACAGTTATCAAGTGTTGTTGGTTTAATTTATCAAGCCATTTTGCAAGAAGATTTACTTTATTTCTATCAAGAAACACATCACCTGATGACTTCAAGGACGATTTAGATTCGTTGGATGTAAGTTGAGGCTTTTCTGGGGGTAATTTAACATATTTTTTCTTGAAATTCTTTAAGCTCAGCATTTGACGACAATATATAATTATTCAAACTTGTCGTTAGTCTTCAATATGGATAGAATGTGTGATAAAATATGATCAAGTCAATAGCATGTATAACGAGTAATATCTAATACAAAGTTCTGACAAGGCTACTCTAGTGCTATTTTCGTCTGATTCAGTGTTTTGTCGTTTTCGCTGTCGTTGTTTTTCTTTTGAGGGTGTAGAAAAAACCTACATGAGTGTGTACGTCAAAGAGGACGGCTACTCTGAATAAATTTGATCGTGCCACCATAAGTTTCGCTTTTTTCTTTCACTCAACTGTATTTAATAATGAAGCTATACGTGCAAGGTGTATTTTTTGTTTGCCGTTCTCTATTTTCATTCTGTTCTCAGTTGTTGTTGTTGTTGTTGTTGTTACTGTGCTGACGATACAACCTAAATGCAGTGACAAAAACAACTTTTCATCCTCTCATTCCACCACCTTTGCCAATTCTGATTTTTATTAATGATTGGACAATTTGTTTTCTCTTACGGTTCTTGTCCCCTCTCTATAATTATTACTCATGGATGGTAAGAGCATGCTAATGTGGAGACCAGATCGAGTGAATCATTCACGGATACGAATATTTAGTGGCCTTCAGATGTTATTTTTGGTGTGAATATATCTAAGAATCATTATTTCTATATCGGCACAGCTACTCTTCTACGGGTTCTCAATGAAAAAGTTTTTGATGTAAATTAGGAACATATTTCTTATTTACTTACTCCAACATTCCTTTTAATCTTATCTGTATTTTAGTTCGTGATACTGAATAGAGCATCGTTGTATCTACAGCAAAATAAATTAAAATAAGTTAGCAATATCTTTTTCATTGTAAAAATGATTAACAAAACTACAATAGATTGCATTGTTTACAGCTCGATATCTAATTAAAATCTTGTTATCATTTAATATAAAGGTATATATCTTTACTATGAATGTACTTATAATACAAGTCATTGTGAGTCTAACAATTCTATTTGTTTAGAATTATTAGGAAAAAATTGAGCTGATACTTTGCTGTGCTGGGAAAATGTCTAAAGGAAATTGTGTCTCCAGTAATATGGTGATAACCAGTACTTGATACAAATAAAATTAAAGAGTTGAGCGAAGACCTACCATATGACTAAAATTCTATTGTTATGATTGAAGCTACTCCTTTATTTTCGACTGATGTAACTCAAGCAAAATCTTCAATTATTTTATTTATAAACTCAAATAAAAGAAAACATTTATTTAAAGTAAAGCATTCAATATTTAGCTAAAATGCACACAGTACTATAAATACTGTTGAATCGTTATATGGTTTATCATTGACAGTTTCTAAGGAAAAAATGATGCATTAACAATTTTTGTTTTTGATTATCTGTATGTGTCATGTCGATATTAATTTTTTCGATAATTTTACGGCCAACCGTAGATTTAGCTCTTATGAATTTGAGTGAGAATTTTACTCGAAGAGCACTAAAATATTAGAATAATCAATACAAGATGATTTTCACGCAGATATGATCAGAATTCTTCTATGAAAATATATTTCATTGAGATGTTTCACTATCCGCGCTCGATTCTTTCAAATGCCACATGCAAGCAGCTGTACATTAAAATCAAGGATTCGTGTTATTTAGAATAGTTGCCATAGCATACAAGAAAATCAGCAGTGGGCGATGGGACCGATTGCTCAGGAAATGGTCACATTTTCAGCAGAAATGGACCACCCCACATAAAGTCATACGTTTTAAGAAGAAATGGGAAAGAAAGAATATATATATATATATCTTTATGATTCACCTCCTTGAGATATTCCTTTATAGTGAAAACAAAATAAACCTTTCCGGCAGATAATTTATCGATTTTCCCTTGACTTTGTTAGGAGTAAAGTATTTCTTCTGGTTATTGCGCCATTTCACGATCTTACGGGATATTGTTCACCCCTCAGACTATTCATTTGGATGAGCAATTAGAAGATATCGTTTACAACTACGAAGGAAGGATTTATTGGAAAAGGCAGAAAGGGAAAATGTCGAAAATTGAGTATTTTGATAATTTTAAAGAAAGATAAAAGTTTATTTTCTAAATTGATGCGCACATATACGTCGTATCCATGTTCAGTACAAGCCCAATACTTTTTTGATGAGGACGTTTTATTGCATTTGAACAGATATTGGTTAAACACTAGTAATGGTTTACCCTTATTAGTCGTTACGAATGATATTTCACTGCCCATTGCCAACGATTGAAGAGAAGATTATTTGTTAGTTGTTTTCGCTAGACTGATTTATATATATGGTATACGCTAATAATGAACAAGAATAGACTATAGACGAGGAGGCTAACAGATTTAACTTATCCCACTAACAGTCAATACCAACCAAAAAAAAAACATTTCGTTATCTATAGACATCTTTTTCATTCTACGTTTTCCTTTCGGCGTTATTCTTTTCGACGTTTTCACCTTCTGCAATTACCAGTTTCAGCATTTTCCTTTTTTTTCGACATTTTCCTGTTCGACGTTTTTATTTTCTGCCTTTTCCGCCAATTCACGAAGGAATACAATCTTTTATCGACATATATACGTATATATGAACTCCCTATTCATCGATCTGGGAGCAGTGATTGCTGCTGTTATTAGCACAAAAACTAACTATAAAAAAATCGGCCTATTAGAAAGTTTACTCTCATTTCAAACTTTAAAACATAGTAGAATCATAGAAAATATTTGAACCTAGTGAGAGTATATTACATTTTTCTGCTGGGGTGGCATATTTTCAAAAAATATGGTAAATTATAGTTTAGATATTGTTTTCTGTAATTCAGAAAGAAAAATATATTTTTCTTTCTGAATTTTTAAAAGCACGTAGTAGTAGCAGTAAACTAGTAGCATCTTTAAATAGTTCTATTTGATTCTACTCCGAATGGTGCACATATTTATCAATCACTATATATTTTGTGTGTGCTTGTTTACATCGTTTTTGATTAACTATGAAGTTAATTGATTGTTTTTAGTAATGCTAAATAAAATACTCGGAACATATTATCTATAATCGAACTCATCTTCGATTAATAACAATACAGCTTCACAATATTTTAGACTTATACTGCACATACGAAACATGTCCGATATGTGTAAAGTGAACTATAACGATGAAATGATTAATTCTAGTATTTGTCGACGCCTCTTAATTAACAAAGTAATATTCAACTCAATTTTGGCGTAAATAACGAAGGTAGTCGTTGGGAGACAGAAGAAAACTAAAAAGATAACGTCAAAGTATCTTTACAATTATAAAGATAGAATTAAATTCGGTTTTGAAACTTGCTTAGGGGTGGCACTTTAACTTTAAATTGATCGTAAAGTACAGAGTTTAAAGTTGTTTAAAGTCACAGTTAAATGTTTATTTTTTACGTTTTATCTGTTGCAGAGAATCTCATAAGCATGAGTAAATACGCCGGTACAGTAGAAAGTATTAAAATTAGCGTTTAAAGGCGACTTTAAACAACGTTAAACTTTAAAATTTACGGTTAAAGTAAAGTTAAAGTGCCACCCCTAAACTTGCTTATAATATGGTATTTTTTTAGATGTATATGGGTGAAAATATGGAGACCCAGCCACTTTTTGGAAAAGTTTTTTTTCGATCTTTTTTCAGTCGAAATTTTCGGTATGCTGGAGAAAACACTTTTGATGAAAAAAAATGGGTA